GATTTCTTTATATTTTTATATATATTCGAGAAGACCGATATTCGATAGGAGATTATGATGATGCCCTAGAATATAAAATTCAAATTCTAATTTTCTCATTTATTCTTAGATAATGATAGATTATTGATGATTTTTTTTCGATATATATTAGCATGAATTTCTAGAATATTGGAATCTTTAAATAATTGATTTATCTCTTATTATTCAATTATTCTATTGGAGAGATTCAATCCACGGATAAATTCTTTATTTTCGACGAGATTATGATTAATAAAGAACTGATTGCTTTGAGCGATGAATATAATCGTGATAATCGAGAAAAAGAAGTAAGTAGGAATAATAATGAGAATAGTAAGTCATATACCTTAAATCTTATCTTCAAAGTTTTCATAATAATAGTTCCTATATTTTTCGACCATATAAAACGAATAAAAAAAATAAAAATTGAAATTTAATTATTCAACCTTTTTATATGCCGATATCAAAGGATATAAATTTAAAAGCTTCTTGGATCATCTATAGATTTTAAAGCGAATATAATTATAATAAATCGAAATTAAATATATAATATCTAAATAATATAATAATAGGTCTAGGTCTATTTTTATAATTATAAGATCTAATATTTATAGTGATATCATGAGAAATTAAGAAAAGATTCGAGCATATAATTATTATCCTTATGCATTAACTACTTGATTTCGGATTAGTATTTCTTATCAATTTCTAGAGAATTTATGAATTTAAGAAGATTTTGCGTATATATATATATTATAGCATTATAAATTTCTTTGAAGTTTAGAGTCCTAAGACTTGTATTTTCAAGTATTATTTCTTTTATTATTAGTTAGGGCATAGATATCATCCCAAAATAATCTTGCTCTTATTATTTGAAGCATGATTTTGACCCTCCGCCTAACCATTATCTATGCATTGCCTAATCCCCAATCTTGTCAGATTAGCGGATTAGCATGGGATTATCGAGAATTTCGAGTGCACGGTGGGATTTGGGGGGTCCGGATGCGGGGGGGTCGGAGATTAGCGTCGGATTAGTGTCAGATTAGCGTCGGATTATCGAGAATACCGAATGTGCGGTGGCATTTAGGGGTCCGGAATGGGGTTCGGGGATTATCGAGAATACCGAGTGAATGGTGGGATTTGGGTGTCCGGGCTGGGGTCGGGGTTAGTGTCGGATTAGTGTCGGATTAGCATCGGATTACCGAGAATATTGAGGACGCTGGCAAAGAAACAATGGGAGCCTCTCGTTTTTTGAAAGGCCGTCCTAGTTCCGGAGCTACAACTCAATGATCGTCGCGAGCTTGGGGATTGGCATCTCCCAAAAGTTTGGTGGGAGGTTGACGATGTGTTTCAGTAGCTGGTGCCAGCCTATCTCCAGCTTGTCCTGAAACGTAAAGGACAGATCTCCCGGGATGCAAACCCCCAGAACTGCAACTTGGTCCCATTCCTTGTCCGTGAGCCGCCCAAGCGCGCTAATCAATAGGTGTCGAGACTCCTCCGTCTGGTCTGCAAGGGTCTCCGCGTGCTTCCAGTCGAAGAGGTAGAAGAACCCGCGATGATGCAAACACGCGACCCGGCTTTCCAAGTGGTCCCAAGAGAAGTGGTCGATGCCTTGGAAGGACTCGTAGGCACGCACAGCGTCGGACAGCCCCGGGTCATCTTTGGAACCAGGCTCGTAAGGCAGCCCTTCATGAATGAGATCCACACCCCCCATGTCCATCAAGATAGCCATGACGAGCATCAGCGGATCTCGTGGATCCGAAGTCATCCTCAACGAAGTGGCTGCCTCAAAGTTCGGAGCTCGCGCTCGTCGCAGCAGCTCAGTTGGAAAGATCAGCGCCTCGGGAAAGACTTCCGTGTGGCAGCCGATTGACATGAACTGGTGGCCGTCACATGACCAGGACAGTCCTGAGGGAGGGCTTTCCACAACATAGAGCCAGTCGGAGGTCGCAGCTTCTCGAAGACTCCGAGATGCAAATCGCTCCACGAATTGCTCCAAAAGACTTCGCAAGCGCGCAGAATCCGATGGCACAACCAGAAGAAGCAAATCGGGAACGCGCATGCCGTCACGAACTTGGTACAGCCGTGCCAGGGCATGCTCGAGCAGCAGCCACGTGCTGCTCTTGCCGCCGCTACCGCTACCGCCAGGGCCAGCATCGAACTCCTCGTCACAGGACTTGTACACTGCCTCGTGGACGACGAGCTCCTTGAATTGGATGCTTATGCCACTCCCTTGGTCTGGGTCTGCGAGGGCCCCTCGCTCATGCTCCCTCTCCCTGCATGCTGTCGTAACGAGCTCCATCTGCACCTTTCGTGTGGCCAAGTGGTTCGGAAAGGGCATTACATCAGCCAGCAACCGGCAACGCGTTGAAGAAGGGGGAGCTGTGCTTGTGGCGCAAGGCTCCGGTTTATCGCCGCCGTGGCATGCTTCAGGGGGATCGGCAAAGCACAAGGCAAACATGGATGTGGAGAGTGTATGTTTCTGTTCTGCTAGATCAGTAACTGTGGCATCCGTCCGCGCGTAGTCGTACACAGATCCTGCAGCAAGAATATCACCAAAGCCTCTCGCGTAGTGTGTGACGGCATACTGTTCAAACACGACTGGATCCTGGGTGGTCGCGTTGTAGAACGCAGCCGCTGGCTTCCAAGAAGAGGGAACAAAACAAGAGATTTCCGAAAAAGCATGCGACCAGCCCTTCTCAAGAATAGAGTCTCCGTCATCTAGAAACACCCGGCGTGGTGAAGCCAACCGAGGAGTATTATAACAGACTTGAGCGCCATGTCCATTCAAGCTTGCAAGTGCCAAGCGGACACCATCCATGAGTAGACTGAAAGCATCTCTGCTGCCTCCAGCAAGGTCATACCGCAGAAAGTCGCGCACCTCTGCAATATATTTGCGCTTTTCCAGCTCCTCCTGGCTGGATAAATTCAGGCAGGAAGGCACCAAGCGGCCCTGCCAGAAGTCTGCCTCCGAAACTTCTACCACCAGTCTCTGCCAGTCAATCTCCCATGGAAAGGGCAAGCTCCACTCCACGGGAGGGCCCTCAGCGCGCCACCAGCTCCTCCCACTCCCCAGGCTGGTTGGGAAGACGATGACCACCGGCAGACAGCCCGACAGCAGCGCGTCCAGGAGCCGCTTAATGCCTGGTCTTGGGGCTTTCTGAGAGCATCTCTATGCTCGAGGACTTGAAGCTGCCCTTGTGCAGATAGAGAGCAAGGATGAAGACACGAATTGCTAGCCACGATATTGACAAAGGAATGATGATGGAGTGGAGTCCAGGTTCGAGTCACAAGCCGGGGAACCCTCTCAACAACTGTGACGGATCTCTCAATATCAGTTTCGCCACAGCATAGCTCAGACCCCAACCTGTGAAAGAGGGCACAACTGTTGGAGGCGGAAGCACGCGTCACAGCCAAAATGAGGCGGACATGCAGGGGACTGTAGGCGAATAACATGGCCTTGGGGAGAATTAAAGTAGCAAGCTCGAGTTTACAGAGGACGGGGCCCGACATACACTGTGGAAATAACGCAGTGGTGGAGGCTTGGAACCGCGTGCCCGGCGCCCTTCGCAAGAACATCGAGCCTGAGCCAATTCTCTTCACTCCCAATGTAAACTGAATAGTACGTATCATTACCACACTGGTTGGGAACTACCTCTCAAAAATCCTCAAGAAGAAGCTTCAAGAAACCGTCGGCTAAAGCGAGCACACGGTTTTCGTGCCTCCGGAGGTCTCGCCAGGGGGGACCGGGCAGAAGGCCGCTTGCTGAAGTTCCTCAGAAAACTGCCGCGGTGCAGGATGGTCTTGCAGCCGCTCCTTGGATGAATGCAGGTCTAACCTTCTTGAGTGGTGCGGGTTTATGGAGACGGGTCGAAGGCTAAAAGGTGTGTCAGAGTGTGGAATGCTGAGCTTCTACTATAAATTTCTTAAGTAGAACATTAACGATGAACAGGACTGCGAAGATCCAACCTGTGCATGACCACTCGGCCTGCTCGGTGAAGCTGTCCTCCGTGTTCGGAGTCCTTGCGGAGGCTTCTGCAATTCTGCGTTACCAAACTGAGACTGCGAAGTATCTTCTGTCCCCAGACTTTGGGGGCTCACGGGCGCAGGGGATTTGAGCCTTCCCCAGCGTTCTGAACTTCAAGCAACGGTACCAAACAATCACCAAAGTATTGTACATGCCTCTCGCTACTCAGCTTTCCTCGACACACCGTGTGTTTGCCTATGCGGCCGGATTAGGATTCAGGCTTCCCGAGACACGACAGTTGCTGAAACACTGTCTGCTCAAAGCAGACGACGTAGCCTGCATGCTGTGTTTATGTGACATCCAGCGGCTGGCTTGCAGACGAGGGTCAGAAAGTGAGGCATTGAATTGCTCCAGGAAGGCAAAGAGAGCCCGTCTGTAAACGTTTGTTGGGGAAGCAGCCAGCCAAAACAGAACAGGGGCTGACGAGGCACGGCTAGGCAGATCAGATTGCGCAACGACATTTGTCACGGCACTGGGGGACACCAGATAGCCCGATGGCGCACCCCATGTCGTTCCATGGGAAATAAGGAGAGGTTGCGCCTGTAATTGCAAAGGGAGACTGTGAATATCGGCTGTTGCAATGAACAGGTGGCGATGCCGAGTGGCAGGTGAATAATGCCTTTGCGTCTCCAACGACGAAAACATAGGATTACACACGATTCGAATCTGCTTACCACCGTTTGAAAGCTTGCATCTTGCCGAAGAAAGGCACGCCAAGAGCGAGAAAAGATCTGACGCTTGCTGGTTTGCCCTTGTAGGACAGCGCAACATGTGTCCACCGAGGAAGCAATCCTGAGCAGCAAAACACAACATGACACCAACAGTCGCTGCAACCGTGATTTCAACCTTTCAATCTCGCAGTCGTAGCATTAGCTGGAACGCTAGACGCCCAGGGGTTTGACTCATTGGTGTGGCAATATACTGACGATGGCATGCCTGCGACCACTCTTGACATCCAGGATTGCCCCACCGAGGGCAAGTGCAAATAGTGCACTGGCACATCACCGCTCTTAGATGACGACGAATTTGCGAACAGACCGTTGATGGTACCGCCACCGCTACGGCTCACTGCAACTGCTGCTGCTGCTGCTGCTGCTCCAGCTCCGGCTCCGGCTCCTGCTCCTGTACTGCTACTGCTGCGGCTGCGGCTGCGGGTCCTGCTACTGTTCCTCCTGCTGCTGCTACGGCTACGGCTTCTACTGCTACTGCCACTATTGCCAAACCACATGATGCTTGTGTTAATTCACCGACAAGGGGCCAGCCCGGCCAAGTACGGCACAACAAAGACATCAGCATCTTCAGGACTTGCAGCTTTCACCTGTCACATGAGCTGAAGCTGACGTTATGTGCCCTATCGACAGCAAAGGCTGCCAAGGTTTGCCACAATGACTCCAAATCCGGTTGACAAAAGCTTGGACGCCTGGCGCAGAACCAACAGGCGCCCTCATGGAGCCAGTCTTGCTGCGAGCTGTGCGATTTCAGACACAATGACGACTGCAGGGTTGCATATTTTTGCCAACTTCTACCAGCCTCAACTTGCGAAATTCTGGCAAGCTCTCGCCTGTGGGCAGGAAAGTCCGGCGAACAACTTCCGGAGGATGATGATTTCTTCCCCTCGCTGCCGCGCCACAGAATATTTGAAAGCCCACCTCAGCGTCAGCACATGCGAAACATTCAAACGAAGGAAGGCCTGCGGCGCAAGCCTGACCTTGGAGCTCATGTTGCAGATGAAGTTCCGATCTTCGTCGCAGGGGGAGAGCACGAAATCGCAATTGCTCCCCGAAGAAGTTGCACGCTTCTCCAGCTCCTCCTCGGCCAGAGTTTGCATTGCAGTGCGAATTGTTGCTGCTCCACTTTATGGTTTCATGCCCTTCCCAGACCGCCACCACCACTTCCGATCTACTTCCCATTACACACTGCGAACTTGTCGAAAACCAGTCGTCGACAGCTAAGCTGACGTGCCGCATGGCAAGTCTCTATCCTGGTTGTGTGGTACGCAGTCCCTTCAGCCTAAGCGGCGATAAATCTCGCATGGGAACATGAGCTTAGTTTTGCTTTGCAAACCGCATGGCTTCCTGTACTGCCTAGATCACAGCACCCTTCGATACTGCTGCTTGTGGTCCTAGATGACGCTAGCTTCGACTTGACAGGGCCCATGATTTCTCTTACCACTAAGCAAACAAAAACAGATCCAGGTTGTTAGGCCGGTCGCTCCATCCTCGTTTGACAGGTCGCCTTGCTTCCTTAAAGCGACTGAGCGCTTTGAATTCGTCTTTGCTTGTAACTTGTTCTCCTTTGTTCCTCTGTCTTCTTCCTTGTTCTTTTGTCTTGGACTTTGGTCCCGCAGACAACAGGAGCTGTGAGAAATTTAAAGCTACTTTGATTCACTCTTAAATGAGTTTGCACGACCTACTTTAACGTAATTTGTTGTGAATCTTGCTCCATGTACGTTCGCAGTTCATGCCTTTGCCGCTACTGCCGTGGCCACTCCCGGCCCTTCTCCTACCACCAATACCACCAGCTGTACCACTACCACGACCACTTTGACTCTCACTATCAGTCAGACTGCCAATACCACTGCGACTGCTGCTGTCAGTACGACTACTACTACTACTACTACTACGACTACAACTACTACTACTGCTACTGCTACTACTACTACTACTACTACTACTACTACTACTAGTACTACTTCTTACTACTTCTTACTACTTCTTACTACTACT